TGATATGGATCACCGATATTTTAATATTAACATCTACTTTTTGGTATTTGTATGCATTAAATTAGTTTTATTGGATAACTAGTTATTTATATGTTTTTGAATTGAAATACGCTAATTTATAAAAGTTACGAATGAAATGTCATTAGTTATATTTATGTAGTGTTGCTGTAAATGTTAAAAAATTTAATTATGGTATGGAACCGAACGGAGCCGAACCCGAGCAGTTCCATAATTATATTTGGACCCGACGAGTCCATTTATTAAATATCCGAAAGTTTTGGGTCGGTTCGGGTCTCTTCAAAACCGAACCGAATCGAACCGAATCAACCCACGGACAGCCCTAAAAGGTACTTTGTCTTTCCAAGTTTAAATTTTGTTTACAAATTCTAAAAATTGATTTTGGGTGAATTTTATTTTTCTTATAGGTGGTAACTTTCTATGAAACACTAATGTGTTTGGTGGTTTATGACATTGGCATCAAGGGAGAGATTTGTTGGAATTTGATGTCATTTGTGACATTTGGTTCCTAACACTTTGGGCAATGATGAAATGGGCTTGGCCCAAGATTGTGGAAAATGTTTTTCCTAAAACTATTGCCCAATAACTCGAAAGAAAGGTAGCCCAAAACCCGGCCCAAAACAAGTTGCCAAGTGTGTTGCTCTGGATCGTAGATCTTGTGCCTAATCTATCGTGATCTGTTGGCTTATTAAGGGAAGCTAGATGGTCAGTGGATTCCTAATTCGTGGTGTCTGCCTTTGTGAGAGAGAAATATTCTGACCTTTTCTTCGTGCTCTGTTCTCTTCTCTGTCTTCTTCGATTCTTTGTGTAATTGATTAAAACTCTTGGTTTTAATCACAAAACTTGATAGTGAGCATCTTGATGTGTGATCCTTCGATTGAGTTTTGCGTGGGTTTAGATAGGCGTTTGAGATTGGGTCCATTGAGTAGCTGCTTTCGTATGAATCTTGTTAGGGTTGGATCTTTGTGGCTTGTTGTTTTGTACAGAAGGATACAATATTCTTTGTGAACCTTCTGAGCGCTATATTGAAGGAAAGAACTGTATTCTTGTTGGTTCAACTGTGTTCTATGTGAATCTTGTTTTTGCTTCCGTTTTTTGGTTTCTTGCCTTACAGACTTGATGGCAATTGGAAGCGACCATGCTTGTTAAAATTTTAGTGGAGCCGACCTCTCTGCTCTGATTTGTCTGTACTTGATTGTTTTCTGCGGATGGTTACGATATTTTAGCAAAACTGGTCTTGATTACTATTAATATTCAATTAAAATAAACAGTTGGAAGTAGATAGGAGGTTCATAATTAGAGAAGTTAAGTGCACACGACGAAGGTGGCTAGAAATTGCATTTTACAGTTGCAAGTTATTTTGGGTAGTATAAATAAGTCATCCAAAAGAAAATTTATAAGACTTGAACGCGGCCCGAGTGAGGAAATGGGAGTTGCATTTTATTTCTTCTTTTTTCTTGACGTAAATGCTCATACCTTATCATATGATCAATCTCAAGGTTTGCTCTTCTTATTTATGCCAGATGAATGAAGCTGCTATGTTAGCTCTGGAGGATAAACAGAGTTCGAGGAATAAAATTTCAGATGGTGCACCATGGACCATCAAAGAAATACATTTCAAACGGGCATTGGAGAAAATAACTCCATCTGTTTCAGACGCGGTATGAATTTCATCAGGCTTGATTTTGTTTTTGTAAGATACATAGAGGAAAACAACTCATTTCTCAAACTTGTCATTGATTTGGTTGCAGCAAATACGATACTATGAACTCCTGTCAGAAAGCTTCAAAGCTGCTCGAGAGTAGACCTGATTTTTGTTTGTTTGGTTAGACGGAATTTTTTCAATTCTTGAGAAGCACAAGCAGTAACTTATTTGCTGTCAACTGTTTATGCACAATGAAAGGTCTGAAGAAAAGAAGCCAACGATCCTAGTTATTTTTTAATTATATAAGTTTTTGATTTGAGTAATTTTGTCATTTTCCATTTTTACATTCTTGTTGAGGAACTGAATAGGAGGTGCTGCATTATGTAACAACCTCAACTTCCTTCGAGAACAAAACTGAGGAGAAATAGAGGCGTTGCCTCACACTTGTTGATTTAGTATACAATTTTTTGTCTGGACATAAAGGCCTAATTATCAAGAATACGATGGTTAAGGTTTCTTAAGTGCAAAACTTAATTTATGTTTTATATCCAAAAGTAAAACATAATTTTCATAGACGACAGAGAACACAATTAAACTAATTCATTTAGACGAGAAATGCAAAATTTGAAATCGAGCACTTGGAAACAGGAAAAGGCGGTAATTATTTGAATAATCAAATCGAATATAGAATAAGAGTTTGTTTGGGATAAATTTTTGAAGGGAGAATTGATTTTGAATAGTGATATGATGGGAAATGTATGGTTGAAAAAAAAGAAAAAATTATTGATGTGATGGAAAGTATTATTTTATTGAAGAATGTGTAGTTGAAAATGAGAATTGATTTACTGTAAAAAAATTTAATCTCTCCCTAACAGGGCCTAAATATATATTTATGAGCCGAAGGTCTCGGGTTCGAGCCCCGCCGGGACCATATTCTTGTGTTTTCTTTTTTAAAATGTGGCAATTGTTTATTTTGCTGTTAGTGGAGGCTGGTTGTTCCTATCTACCAATAATTGTGCAATCATGTATCCCAATTATTCAAACTAATAATAAAACATTTCCTTTATTAAACTGCATTATTTTTATTTTATGCATCCTGTTTCTATTTCTCCTTACACTTGTTTGGTAATTTATATTTAATTAATTATCTTTAATAATTTAATCAAACTCCAAGATTATAAATGGGCCCGTCTCCTTCTACAAACATCTTGAGAATCAATAAATTGGTACGTTTAGCTGGTTCATAATTGGGTAGCCATGACATCTTGTGCTTTCAATATTATCGTGGAAAGAAAAATTAGGAGAAATCAATTTGTACATAATAAAATCCAATAGAAATGCAACAGAATAGAGATAAACAGTGGGTCCCACATGCATTTAAAAAGAAAAAAAAATGTGCAGGCCCTACCCTTGTGTGAGTATTCTGTTACAATTATGTGAGATTTTTTTTATGGTAATGCAACACTCCTCGAAAAATTGTAGAGGAGCAAGGTCCAAAGCGATGGCTACTGCAAGAATTGAAAATCTAAAGTACCGCGTTTAAAAAAAAAAAATTAGACATTTTTTCATTGTCGATCATTGATTACAAGTTCTTGTTGACCATGAGCTATAGTAATCAGACTCTCTATTGCTTTTAATCCTATTTGCATAGGCTTAGCAAAGATTTACGTTCAATACTCACTTTCCATATGTTGACACAATATTCTACATGAATCCAGTTTTAGTCCTTTTTTGAGGTTTAGAGTGTTCTTGATGCATATTAAAATGAGAGAATGCATTTTTTTGAAGTGATATGATGCGGAATTTATGGTTAAAAAAAAAGGAAAAGTTATTGATGTGGTATAAAATATTATTTTATTGATGCGGAATTTATGGTTAAAAATGAGTAGAAAAATGAGAATAAAAAAAATAATGCGGCTCAAACAGGAGGCTTAAATTGACTTTTTAGTGTAATAAAATTTTTCTCAAAACAAATTATAGAGTCCTAACCTTCTTTTTTTCCCCATAATTTTGATGGTCGAAAAAGTTCTTTCCACTTTAAAACCTCGTGAATTTTTCATGTTTGACAAAAACAGGAAAGAAATGGATAGAAACAAAAAGGAGAGGAGGACCATAGGAATCAAAGTGTCGGTGTGGTTGGTTAGGTTGTCGCCATGTATTTTCTTGAATAAAACTAGCGATGATTAGCATAACTCCATTTGATTGAGGAAATTAATTTGTTTTTAGACTGATTCTCTTGTTGATACCAACCATTTCTTCACAGTGCAACTCCTCTTGAGAAAAACGAGCCGGAGGGCCATGGGCGTTGCTACCCACTTTTTGTTCTCTTTTTCCCATTCCACCTCCTCATTCTTCTTCAAGTATACGCATATATAATAACAACATTTGCATTTCTTGGCTTTCACTCATCTACACTACTGCACTATCATTTCCACTTTTGCTTATATTTTCTTCACATCTGGAGATACCCTTTTGCCAGAACGTCTTTAACTTGGAGTTTCTTCTCTGGTACGTGATTTCTTCTTCTAATTCTATTTTATTAATTGTTGGAGTAATTAATTTTGGAAGTCAATCTTGACGGGTTTTTAGGATTTTTCTTGATGCGTGTATTGAATTGGGGTTGTTTAATTTGGTTTGTTGAATTGGGATTGAAAGATCTGTTAATTTTCTCATTGTATTGAAGAAGACAGTATCAAACTCAGTACTTGGGAGAATGCTTTCAAAGCTAAATTTTAGTAGCAAAACTTATCTTATCTTCTAGAAAAGTAACTAATAAGCACACCAAAGATGCTTTAACTAAATCCGGTCTTTTGTTCTGTATTAATTGGTTGAATCATTGTGTATTGCAACTCTTTCAGTGTTAATCATATTTCTAAATTGTGAAATTTTAACTTCACAAGAATACGAAGGCAATGCTTTGGTTGATAATTTAGGACACAAAACAGCCCAGAATTGATCACAGTTCATGCGGCCAATTTCCTTAACGTGAGAAGAATACCGAAGTTTTCTATCGACTTATTTTAGTTAGTAAGGTCTTAGGTTACCAGAAACATTTTGGTTAACTTGTCTGGTTATTGAAGAAAAATCTTAGAGCAATTTGAATTCGCTTTGTGCATGGACATCTCATAATATGTCCTCTGCTGCTGGTTAAGTTGCAAGGTGGGATGGTCTCATTTGTCTAGAAATCACAAAATAGATGACAGTAACAATTTCACAAGATACTTACAAATTAAGCATTGACTGAATACATAATTGAATACTCAATAATGATGTCATTTTTACACGAGATTCAATATCCTCTGCAGGGTATTCCAGTGAGCTATACTAAGCATCGATAATGGGCTCTGGAGTTTGGTTCAAGAATATAATGAGTAAAAAGAAGAGAGGTGACAGATCGCAAAAATTGAAGGTTTGCTTCTTTTAATTAATTTCACATTCTGCTAGTGATCCCCATGCCATTGATGCCTTCATTCATTTCTTTCTGGTTGAAGTTTCCTCAAAAGATATTTTTTTCATTTTCTTTTCAGCCTATATTTCATTATTTGACATTGTTACATCACGACCCATATGCGTGCTTTGCAACTTAATTTTTTATTCTTTTTTAATTATTAAAGCAGATATATTCAACACCTGAAATGTCAAATGGGTACAAGGAGGAAAATTGCTTGCAGAATGAGTCTCCAATATTAACTAATGATGTTTCTGAGGAAAATCATGATGGTTTGGGCATGCGCATTGATAATATTGCAGCAACTCAAATTCAGACTGCATATCGAGCATACACGGTATGGAATATACATGCTGCATTTGTTTACTTATCTTTGTATTACCTTGGATTTTCTTGTTTCATTCAAAATATATGTGAGTTCTCAATTCAAGCTGTACTTCCGCTTGTAATTTAGGCAAGGAAAAATTTCCGTCAATTAAAAGCAACAGTAAGGTTTCAGAGCCTGTTGCAATGTGACGCCGTTAAAAAGCAAGCATCAACAACTTTGGGCCATCTCCACTCATGGACCAAGATTCAGGCCCAGATTAGAGCTCGCCGAGTGCATATGGTAACAGAAGGTCGTCTCAGGCAGAAGAAGCTAGAGAGTCAATCGAAGCTTGAATCAAAGCTACATGACCTAGAGGTAAGACTGGATGCTTTCTTAGTTGAAGGTTTTGTTGCATACTTGCATCCTTGTTATTATAGTTGATGTTTAAGGAAAAGGGACAAAAGAAACCAACAAAAAATAATTTATGCAGAAGAGTGTAACTAAGCTCCACCTGTGATTTTTCGAAAGTTTATATGACTCATTATTCTTAAGTCTTAACCACTATCTTAAAACCCTTTTTCTACTAGATTAGGAAGTTCAATTATACAAGAGAAAGTAATTGAGCAATCTTCTGTACCATTCTTGTACCTTATGTGTAGTAAGAAGAACAAAAACCAAGACTCCATATAGAGACATAGATAAACCATATTTGTCCTCGATGCTCATCGTAACATGTTTATATGACTTCTTTAAGAATCAGTTCAACTTCCTCTATCTATACAAGTATTAATATTTCCTTGGACAAATTGAACTAATTTGACAACGAAGTAGTTCTTGAGATAGCAATTAGCATTTAGACCTTATTTAACCATTTGAAAGCAGTCCTTCAATATTGTGACTGTAGCACATCATTCTTTTACTGCAATTCTTTATGATTTTACGATAGATAACATAATTTAATGATTTGGGCTGTTCAAAAATTATGCCTATCTTCCATTAATGTAATTCCTGACAGGTGGAGTGGAGTGGTGGCTCCAAAACAATGGATGAAGCTCTTGCAAGGATACATCAGAGAGAAGAAGCAGCATTGCGGCGTGAGCGAGCCATGGCATATGCATTTTCTCATCAAGTACGTCATTATAAATAATATTTCTGTTTTTGAAAATTGGATTGGGTTGCTTTCAGTCCGAAACACTGGAAACCAGCCCGACAACCTGTCCGGTTATAGCCTAAGAACCATTATTAAAAACATCCTAACCTGGTCAGACCACCTGATAAATTGAGAATCAGATGAACTGTCACGGCCTGCCCGGTTGGGTTTCTCAGTTGCATATTTTTGCCTAGGAGCGATTCAAGCTTGACGTTTATAACTCTTCATATATCTAGTTATTTATTTTTGACCCAGGTTAATCCTTAGATCCTTAACCCACTACATTTTCCGGTGCGATCCTAACTGGGTTTTAAAACATTGAAATATTTCCTTAATTCATTTGTCATATAAAACCAAGTATAAATATAAAAACATGTCATGCAGTGGAGAGCCAACTCCAACCCGAACTTTGGATCAAGTAACCATGAAATTGGCAAATCAAATTGGGGCTGGAGCTGGATTGATCGATGGATTGCAGCTCAACCTTGGGAAAGCCGAGTTGTCCCATTGCAGTCAAGTCCAAAGAAATCACTTGGTTGCCAGTCGAGCAAGAATAACAGAAACAAGAATTCACCAACGATTCTAGCACCAGTTTCAGTCACATCAATTTCCCCTAATGGGAAGACTGCCACAAAAGCTCGAAAGTTGTCCTATGGAGCAGCTGAGAAGATGATAGATGCTAAAAAAATGAACAAATCCAAAGTGGTGAAAAATAAAAGAGAAAAGGAAATATCTTAATAGATAGTTACTATAGATGATACATGCTCCAGGAGATTGTCAAATGCATTCGGTATGTAGCAGAGAAGAGGTCGATTTTATCACGAGTTGTTGAGTTCCTGCTTGTTTACTCTTCAATGGGGCGATGCAACTGCACATTTGTCATCAACAGAAAAATTAAAAATAATAACATGAATTCCTGGTTGACATGGATGTGAGTTTCTTCTTTTACTTCTTGTAACATATATTTGTCAAAAAAATAAGTCATCGGCAGATTATTGTGTAAATAGATATCAATTATGTGTGTAAGTGTGAAGGCTGATGTGCTCTGCAAGCAACTGTTTTTAAGGGTCTGCTATCTCGTGTCCTTTGAGTTAGCAATGATATTTTTTTCATGGTTATTTCATATTTGAAAGCTTTCTTGTTTATTGGATGATTTCTTGTTTATACAATTAAATATTTCGAAATTCCAATGCCTGTTTTGTATTNGCCACAACAGAATTGCATTAACAAAATTGAAGTGTCTGAAATTCACCTCAGACTTGTTTTTTCAACAACTTGAAGTTTTTGCATACTGATATATCATTGCGCTGCTGCATTCGGAAAAGTTGTAGTGATGCCAAGTATTTTAAATTTGTTTAGTAGTCTAGTCTACTATTAGGAAATGAAGTTTGCTGATTTTCATCCACTATATTTTTTACTTGTAGTGATGCCAAATATTATAGTATTATATTAAATGTAAGAATTTATCATTTTTTAATTATCTGTTTTTTTTTAAGGTAAAAAATCTATTTTTTTTTTATGATATAGTAAAAAATCAATTTTTTATATAAAATATATTTAATATCGTAAAAATAATTAAAATAATATTAAAAATACGAAACGCATTATAGCGCTTATTCTACGCATTAACACGTCTAAACTTGTCATTCTTAATTCTCGACCTCGATGCCTCGTAACGTATTATGCCTTTTAGAATATTGGTATTTTCACGTGCTATGTCTTTGGTGGAAAAATCATTAGAATATATGAGATAGCTTTGAGCAAGGCTCGAGTGAGGTTCACCTTGAGACTAGGACAAGGCCTAGACTAATATACAAGTTAATACTCCGAGTCAATGACGGATCCAGGAATTCATCTGAACTAGGACGGATTCATTTGAGTTAGGACGGATGCTAGAGACTGCTCGCCCAATATATGGGGAAAAAAAATATTTTTGATGAAGCCAACACGGGTGGCCTCCATGGCTCATCGGATGTTAACTTTGCCACTACTTTGAGTTAAGGCTACGAAGCCATATTAAATTGTATGTCAATTCTTTCAAGAGTTGAATCTAACACTCAGCATCCAAATTGGGGTCCATCTGTTAGGTATAAATTAATGTAGTCCGAGCACGACAAATTATCCCAGAAAATGCAGATCGAAAATTTAATTTCGGGTCATAACAGAGACCGTATAGAGTGTATATACTAAAATAAATGACATTGATTTTGAAGAACATGAAGTCTGGTTCAGGTGAATTCAAGTGCGTTACCATTATTTACATTATAGTCCTCTTTACATGTGAATTTTAGTGGTTCGCCACAATCATGTTACTTTGCCTAGTCACATTCAATAATACAAGGTAAACTTCTGAATTTACTCCTGTCATTTAACAACGAATCAATTGAAATAATTCGTGAACATTAATTGCTCGTTCAGGATAACTTGAAAAATCGATGTCAAAGTTAATAATTAATTTTAAATACAAATATTAAGTAACTCTCAACTTTTATCAAATTTACTGAACTTTATCAAAAACTTTGTCAAACCACATCTTAGACCTTTAGCAACCCTTTGAAGTTGTGTTTCTTTCTTATTGATAAACTCGGTCTCCGTCTACATTTTGAGAATAAATTTTGTAAAAAGTATTTTATTATGTGTAAAATTATTTTATTAAAAGAATATATCGTTGAAAATAAGTCTGAAAAAAAAATTAACTTTTTAAAAATCAAGAATTCATTTTGGACAAAATTAGAAGTTATTGGGAGGGTGTTGTACTTTGCCATTGTGATTGACCTATGGAATGAAAATAATTTTTTTCTGGATAATAATATGCTAAAAGCTTAAAAGGCAAATGCAGACAGTTGGCTAATTTGTTGTGACATTGGCTTGAATGGACCCAGTGCTTGAATTGCTATAATAAATTTGCACTCTTCCATGCTTCACATGGGATCCAATTCCTAATTGAAATTCTACACATCCTAAGTTATAAGGGGAAAAAGAGAAAGAAATTAGACAACTCATCAACTAAACAAAGCTGGATAGTCCCAATAGGGCTTGGGTTTCTATTTTACTATTAAACTAGAAAATCAGACTACTGAGTTGTTTTGCTAAAAATAAGTTAATTCTCTGATTTTTGGATTCTTTTATTCAAAAGTGTCACACGCATGGAACTTTTTAGCAATTTTTTTGTAGTGCTTCTTGGTCATCTAAATAAAAAATAATATTATCGTTACATAATTGTTTACATATAGATAGGTAAAAAAAGAGAGAAGTTTTCTTTTTTATTTGGTTGAAAAAATTCTGATCAATCATATCTCATTGCATCATGTATATGTAAATAATTATGTACATGTAATACAACCGTTAAAAAAAAGTTATAAGCGTCAAATTATATTTGACCGTTTGATAGACAAATATGGAAAAGAATTCTAATTTCATGTTGGTTGGAAAATAAAAATCCATCAAATGTATAGGAATTCGTTTTCCATGAAAATAAAAAAAATGCAATTTAAAGTGGTTGTACCTCAGAATTCGATTTCTATTTTCACGTTGTAATCAAAAGAGTAAAGTAGAATCCATTTTTCTCGAATGTGACATTTTTTATAAAATTCGTTGCAATCAAACATGACATAGGTACAAAATATGGTCGTACTCGAGCTAGGTCCTGCGGTAAGCTGGCCCACCTTTAGAATTGAATCGTCCCAAGCTAATTGTAGAGACCTGATGGGACAAGTCAATGTAAGTTGTGTTTTTACTTGGGCAAAAAAAAAAAAAAAGGTTTCAAATTAATTTGAGCATATCATTATTAAAAACTCATTTTTTTAAAAAAAAGTTTCGATCATATATTTTTTCAATCAAATAATTTTACTCGCAAATTCAAAATATTTTTGTACTTTTTAACCACAAAAGATGAGTTTTAATAAAATATATTCAAAAAAAAGGGTTCAAAGAGGACTGAATATATACTAGTATATTTTCTTCTGCTTGAATATTCACTTGCCATTTTTAATTAGACCGACAACTGTGAAAAATGTGAAATGTACCTTTAAGGAAAGAGAAGTGACAGAGAATAATTAACGCCAGACTCTTAAAATTTTTTTTGCCCTCTGAAAATGGTTAAGTATGATCTTTAATCTGAATAGCATATAAAGCAAAAGAACTGAATAATGACACTTCTAGCTTGCTCTTCCTACAGCAGATAATATAACAAGCATGCAATTAATATAACATAAACCTTGATGGAATTGATGATAGACATCACAGATTAACAGACAATAAGATCAAAGAAAAGCAATTATACATTACTACTGTTTGAAAATTATAATTGCTTTCTTGTAGTCTGAAAAAACTGCTGCAATTTTAATGTAGAATAATGCAAGAAGACGACTTCCATAATGGTGCTAGGATTCATTATGCAGAAAAGGAGTAGTACTTGTGGTAGATTGCTTGCTGGAAACTGGGATCTTATCCTCTGGTTCTTGAAATGGTGAAGATATTTTTGATAAATCTTGAGCAAATCCTACGTTAGTGATTGGGGTTATCATGGACTGTAAACCGGAGGATAATTTATACTGGACTGAAGGGGTTCCCTTTGAGAAAAGATCTGATTTTGGCCTAAATCTGGCAGTGAGTTTATAAAATTGTTAGAATTTGCACTGGCATGATTCCAAGTGAAAATTCTTTGGGGTCTAGAAATTTCCATATTTGTATCCAAACGTGAAAGATTTATTGCAGGAACGAGTCCTTCTTGATAACTCGGGTAAAGAATTGAGTTGAACTCGTCATTAGGGTAGGCCTGAAACTCAGTAGAAGGTGATGGTGTCGCACTATTTTCCATTGAAAAGAAACTCAAACTACAAATGGAGTCGTCTTCTTTGTTAAAATAACTACTTTCTTGATGGATCTTCAGATTTGGGGACTGATCTTCTTGGACCGTTGATCTCATCAATGGCGGTTCATCAAGTGCATCAATGGCGGCTTTAGCTTCCTTCATGAGCCAATCAATGGCTTTACTGGGACGGTCATAGCGAAGCCTGTCTTGCACATCGTAGAATTGAATTGCAGTGTTTGGTGATAGTCTAACTCGGCGGTCCCTCGGTCCCCTTGCTGTGCACACTTTGCTGTGCCTATCTTTTCCTCCATTGGATCGAACAATCCGGCCTCCATGAACTTCTATAATCTCTCCTTTTGCTCTTTTCACTTTGGATTTTGATGGTACCTGGTTGAAATTGAAACCCTCTTGCATTCTCTACATGAACTGAAATTTTTTATTATTAAACTGACGGCTGTTACAACTGTTGAACTCAAAATCTGCTCGACCCGTCAAACTTGGAAAATCTGCACACACTTGGAACAAACGTTAGCCTACATACAAAAGAAAATTCATTTCATTTGATTTTTCCAGACCATGTTGGTTGCCAACATTAGAGAATTTTGAATGGCCAAGATCTATTGGGAACTTCTGATGAAATTTGATCAATGGCACTGCAAAATGCAAAACACAGAAAAGAGAGGATCATCTTCATAGTTTATGCAGGAAAAAGAAAAACATAATTGGACTGTAGGTAAATAGTAATACCATTGATGCGTGCGTTTTGACACTATGGAAGTCTAAGCACTGTATCAGAGAGAAAGAGAGTGCTTTGGGGTAATGTATTGAACAGCAGGAAAAGAACTAAAGGAGCCCACCCATTTGGTTCATTCACATTTCACTTTCTGCTTAGTTTACTTTCTCCAAAGTACAAATGTTTGTTTTTACAGTTACTTTAACCTGATAATTGAAACACAGGTCACCAGTGAGTGTATCGATATCAATAATATCTTCCCAGTATGATAGTAATGCATCGGGTGGAACTTAAGGAAGAAAGTGACCTCTATAATGGTAGGTGCATGAGTGAGGGGTGGGTGGGTGAGGAGGAGGAGGAGGAGGCATATATGATGATTTTTGATGGGTCCCTCCTAAGCTCGAGGAACAAGGGTTCTGCATGCAATCATGTGCATGATATTTCTTGTGTTTTCTTTCTTTCTCTCTCTTTGGATAAATTCGAGCCTATCTTTAGAGAGTGTGACGATTCTCGGCATGCAGTTCCTCGAAGTTTCAAAAAGTGCGTATGCATCTTTTGAATAAAAGCGTATATATATATTTTCCATTTTTGTATTTTTTTTTTAATGTTAATGTATGTTCATTACAATACTAGAATATTTACACAACCTTTAGCCTAGGTTTGACAACCATTATTTTCAAACTCTTTTGTCTACACTCATTTTCAATCACACATTCACATAATAAAATATTTTGTAAGTAAATCCAAAAATTTTTCGTACTTTTTAATCACACATTGTTTTAAAAATCACAATTCAAATTTCTATTTTCCCAAATAATGGTAGCAAAACAGGGGCTCAATAATTGAAACATTATGAAAGATATATAGAAATTAAGTTTGTTAATCCAGTCTTAAAATCTTTCAAGTTGATGAACGTTGCGAACACATTAGCGCTATGACAGTCGAGGTTATCAAGACGAGAAAACAATATTTGCAAAATATGTTGATGAATAATACGACAATCATTGTCAATTATATGTTCGCTCGTGAAACACATCATTTTAAGCAATTTGAATAGCATTCAAATTGCAATGGTGATGCGTCGTAGAAGAGTATATGATTCCCATATCGTATATTGACCAACTCAATCAAATGAGTTCAAATGCAGTATTTGCTAAAGCTTGATACTCTACTCTGCTCCAATACTAGAAGGAGTTGTGATTATCTTGCTTCTTACTTTCTCATGAAATAAGTGAATTACCTAAGAAGAAACAATATTATGTGGTGGATCACCTATCAATGGGACCATCAGCCCAATCAACATTAAAATAGGTTCGTAACTTAAAGATGATATTGAATAAAAAATTGAAGTCCACAAAATGCAGTCCCTTTGATGCAACATATAATATGGAAAACAACAACAAAATGTCGTCATGCTCCTCAACTGTGCTTGCACCTAATTGATAGCTCAAGAATAACTAATAAAGAAAGAAGTGAATTTGTTTTTAAAACTTTTTCTAAGAATTAATCTAAAAGACTCAATAGATCAATCCAACTAATAAGTACAAATATGAAAGTTATAAGTAAACGAGAAGAGGGGATGCAAACGATACAATTGTGCATGTTCGATTCAAAACAATGATTTACATCCTCCATTAACAAGCTCTCTGGCACAAACAATATCTTTTTACTATATTAATAGACCTGTGGTCCAATTCAATCATTTACAATGCTTTCAGTGACTTACAAACAAGGAGCACTGATCCTTATATAATATTGAGATTTACAGGATCTCAATATGACTCACATGGTGACTTACAATAAAGAGCACCGATCCTCATACTATTGAGCGTTCACGGGATCTCAATATGACCTACAAGTTTAGAGTAAATAATTTATCAATGAAAACTCTCTCTTAATAAATGATACAAATGAATTAAGTACTAAAAAAGGCTAACATTTCAATGAATAGTAATAAACAATAATTAAAGTGTTAGATGAAAAACTTTGATAAATATGATAATTAGAAATTTGATTCAATTAATCAAAATTTTTCAATGAAAAGATGTATAATAAATAGACGCTTAATGTAAGTTAAAAAATCTTTTCAAAATGTCTCTTTTTTAATGAATGATTGTAATAAATTGAGCACCAAGAGAGAAATGAGAAATTTTGATAAATATGATGAATTACAAGTTTGTTTCAATCAATCAAAGTTTTCAATATGAAAAAATAGAAGAAATATATGTAATGTAAATACAAAGATCTTTTTCACAATATATCTTTCTTTATGAGTAATAGAAACATTTAAGTACAAAAAGAAAAATGAAAAACTTTGATGAAGATGATGACTAAAGAGTTTAAATCAATCAAAATTTTTGACTTCTTGTCCAGATGATCAATATAATCGTTTGTACAATAAAAATCAGAGGTCAGAACTGTCAAATTTTTTACCGTTAAAACTTTCTGTCGACCACCTATTATTGACAGTTTCGATCTTTTTATGCTTTGGCTTCGTTTGATCCGATTTAAAGGTTTTGAAATGTATGTACTTTTGGAAAGTATTTTTAATTAACTTTTCAAGATTAAAAAAATATTTTCAAGTTTAAATATCATTTTAAAAGTCATTTTTATAGTTGATCAAAACATTGCACTAAAATGACTTTTAATGCACAAAATTGTTTTTAATGCATAGACGAATTTTGATTTTAAGCATTCCTTACCAAATATCAAAGTGTTAGTATATTTATACTTTATCTAAAAAATCAAGTATTTGATCTTGTTTCGAAGTTTGGCCCTTAAGTTCTTACACATGTGACTTCGATCTTGACCTCTTTCATAAGTCCGACTTGTAATGATAGCTTTGATCTTTTGACTACCAATCTATTTTTCATCGTATACTTTGAAAAATTATAATCATTTGAATTCAACTTGTAAGTAAAACAAGATTAACTTGTTTATTATAATTAAAACTGTAAAATTATATTAATCACATGTCAATAATTTCCCCCTTTTTTATTATGATAAACAAGATAATTTGCAAAGTAATATCAACAAGAGATCGATAAGGAATAAAGATCTCACAATTACATCATATTTCCCCTATATTTTACAAACCAATCATCATCCATTTAAAACATATCAAATAATATATGTAAGTTCAAAGTATATCATTTAAAGCATATCATCTTGCTTATTTTCATCATTTTCAATGCTTTTCAAATCTATTTTACTCAAATTTCTCCTTTTGGTAAGCAAAAATGTAACACGTATGAGAGCAAGAGTATGATATAAGATAAAAACTTTATATCAACCATATAAAATAATAATATTCCTCCTCAATTAAACACAAACTATCAAAAATATGGAAGTTTAAACAAGATGATAATCGTCGCATTTATGGCAAAATACTATTCAAATTATGAGTGATGAAATGTCAAAAGCATAGACAATATGGTAAAGTTTATATGAATTTCAACCAATGAAGCACAAAAAATCAATCATATGAGAACATTTAGTATGAATTCAATTTTGCTACATACTTCAAATTCATCTATAATTTTCAAACCTTTTTGTTCATATGAGAACATTTAGTATGAATTCAATTTAGTTACATATTTTAAATTTATTGATAATTTTCAAACCTCTTTGAATATATGAAAATCTATCAGGTATTAAAGGTTTAGTGAGAATGTCAGCCAATTAATTTTTCATATTCACAAATTCTAATACAATATTCTCTTTTGGGTGCCTTTAGGACACCATAGACTTAATGTCTTAGTGCCATTAAGATATTTAAAAATTCATTTTACGAAATTAGGTGTGATTCTTGAGTATTGGATTGAAACTACACATAATCACACATTAAACATACTATCGAGTCAACTTGCGATTAAATAAATAAGAGATTCGATCATACCTACATATTTTGTTATGTCTATAAAAGTACCTTGATCATCTTTGTCCAATTTGTTTGATGAGCTCATTGGAGTGTTTAATGATCACAACTATTTCATTTCAAATTTATTGAAAATGCAAATGATATATTTTGCTTGACTTCATTCCTTAGGTAGAGATTGATACTTTGTACTTCGGAAGATTCTTCTTTATCTTGTTGCACATTTACATTTTCATCATGCTGATCTTCAACATTTTCAGGATCTTGTTTGTTTTGATTTTGAATTTTCATTTGTTCAAAAATGAATTTCTAAACCTACATTATTAATAACACATTTATCTAGATCAAGATGATTAGTTTTATCAGATGCTACATGTTTAGATTTTGGACCGTTGAAAACTTCCGGTTAATTGCTTCTTCCAGCAAGTCAACTGCCCGGCAGTTTCAATTTTTTAATGTTTTGGCCCCATTTGATCTGATTCAATGGTTTTGAAAGACATAAATTTTTGGAAAGTATTTTTAACTAATTTTTTAAAATAAAAGATATTTTTTCAAATTCAAATATTATTTTAAAAGTTATTTTTATATTTGATCAAAACATTGCATTAAAATGATTTTTAATGCACAAAACAGTTTTTTAATGCATAGAAGGATTTTGAGTTTAAGTATTCATTGCCAAATATCAAAATATTATTACCTCAGATAAACGAGATTAACTTATTTGTTATAATCAAAACTTTAAAATTATAATCAACCATAGGTCACCACTAACTACATGACCTAAATATGCTATATTTGGACATG